ACCCGGAGTTCCTCCTCCATCTTGGTAAAGCGAGAAATCCGGGTAAACGGCAGGCACGCTGAATGGCTCCTCGACGAAATCCGGCAGATGCTGCTGCTGCTGCAGCTGCTGCTGCAGCGGTAGCTGCTGCTGCTGCTGCAGCGGTAGCTGCTGCTGCTGCTGCTGCTGTAGGTAATGTTCCGGGTTTTGAGCCTCAAGGTGCGTCTGCAGCAGGAGCTGCTGGCCGCTGCCTTCTCGGGGGCTGTTGCCTTTTTCGTCCCCATTATCTCGCTGCTGCTGCAGCAACAGCTGCTGCTGCTGCTGCTGCTGCTGCTGCTGCTGCTTGAGCCTCAGGGCTGTCTCTTTGCTTCTGTCCCTGTCCGCGCGCCCCTCAACCCACCGCTCCGTGTCTCCCCCGCGCGCGCTGCTGCCGCTGCTGCCGCCGCCTCCGCTGCTGCCGCTGCTGCTGCTGCTGCTGCTGCTGATTTTGTCCCGAATAGCTGCAGGCAGCGCAACAGCGCCGCCAGCCACGAGGCAGCTAAGGGGAGCTTTGGAAGACATAAATGCTGCCAAGCTGGGGTGTACAGACTGCTGCAGCACGAACTCGCACTCGTGGTGTCTGGACAGCCAAAAGAGGAAAAACAGCAACACCAGACACTCGTAGCAGCCCCCGCTGCTGCTGCTGCTGCTGCTGCTGCTGCTGCTGCTGGGGTCCACCAGAGAGCGGCTGACAAAGTGCTGCGGCACCCCCACGCGGTCGAGGACCCACTCAATGGCGCGCCAGTTCGCCGCAGCCGCCTCCTCCCCCCGCTGCTGCTGCTGCTGCTGCTGCTGCTGCTGCTGCTGCTGCAGCAAGCCGCGGGCGAGGCGGGGGGGCAGCTCGCGCACAGCCCGCGGCCAAATGAGGGCAAAGAGCCGCAGCAAAACTTCGCCAGAAGCAAAAGAGGAAAAGTCTAAAGAGCCCGCGGGCTCCCCCAGGGCCTCTGCTGCCCACTGCAGCAGCTCGGGGGGCCCCACCAGGGGGGGCCCCCGGGGGCCCCCCACAGGCAGCATCGAGCTGCTGCGGAGGCGGGCCCTACGCAGCGCGCATGCTGCTGCTGCTGCTGCTGCTGCTGATGCTGGTGTCGCTGATGCTGCTGTTGCTAATGCTGCTGTTGATGGGGATGGGGATGGTGAGGGTGATGCTGCTGCTGCTGCTGATGCTGGTGTTGCTGCTGCTGCTGCTGACGCTGGTGTTGCTGCTGCTGCTGCTGATGCTGGTGTTGCTGCTGCTGCTGCTGATGCTGATGCTGGTGCTGCTGCTGCTGTTGCTGATGGGGATGGGGGTGGTGAGAGTGGTGGTGGTGCTGCTGCTGCTGAGGCTGCTGCTGCTACGGCTGCTGCTGGTGTTGCTGCTGCTGCAGAGCTGCAGCAACCCGCAGACACCCCCCTCAAGGGCTGTGCGGGCCTCGGGGTGTACGGACAGCGGGGAGAAAGGCCTTTCTGGAGGGCTTTGAAAAGATTTATTTTTTTAATTAAATAAAAAGTTAAATAAAAAGATAAATAAAAAGTCTAGAGGTGTTGGGAAAGGTCACTTTTGCTGCAGGGCGCAGCAAGCGCGAGCCGGGGTGTCGGCCCTGGTCAGCTGCTACGGAAAGTCGCCTCCAGGCGCTCAAAAGAAACCAATTTTGACGCAAAAACAAATAATTAAATCCATTTAATTCTTTTAATTTTAAAAGTTCTTCAAATTCCGCTTTTAAATTCCGAATTCGCGCAAAAGACTGCCGCTCTCCGCGTGGTCACACATGCCCAGCCCACGGCAGCCTAGACCAGCAGGGCTTTCTGGGACAATTCCGCGCAAAAAGCGGGAAAATTGAAACAATTAGCTTGAATTATTTCATTAATTCGTTTTAACTAATTAATTATTTGCTTTTTCTTTGAATTTAACTCCAAACAAACGAGAACGGCGCCTCCCTTAGGCTCTGCTGCTCTCCCTGCGTGCGAGCGCCCCGGCGCCTACGGGAAAGCTGAACAGACTTCTGCTGCTTCTGAATTGGCATTTTGTGCTTTTAAATTTACTTTTTAATATTTATTTCAAATAATAAATTCAATTATTCCAATTAGTTGCAAAAAAGAAGAAATTTGCTCCCTAGACACCCCAAATCGCTGCTGCTGCGCCCCCAGCAGCAGCTCTCTTCCCCTTTTCCGCCGCAGCGAATCTCTCAATAGAGAAGCTTCTCATGTCTTGCTGCTGCTGCTGCTGCTGCTAATGCTGCTGCTGCTAATGCTGCTGCTGCTAATGCTGCTGCTGCTAATGCTGCTGCTGCTAATGCTGCTGCTGCTAATGCTGTTGCTGCTGCTAATGCTGCTGCTGCCGATGCCGTTGCCAACGCTGCTGGCGTTGCTGCTGCTGCTATTGTTGCTGCTGCCGCCGCTAATGCTGTTGCTGCTATTGCTGCTGCCGCTGCTAATGCTGCTGCTGCAAGTGCTGTTGTTGCTATTGATGCATACGTCGCTGCCAATGCTGCTGCTGCTGTTCATGGGGCTGCTAATGGTGCTACTGCTGCTGCTGCTGCCAGTGCTGCTGCTGCTAATGCTGCTGCTGCTGCTGCTGCAGGGCGTTCGCCCGGGAGCAGCAGCTCTGCCAAACTTAGCAGCAAAAGTCAAGTGCTGTTAACTCAAGGGCCTGTAGCTAGCCCCTGCTGCCTTTCCCCTTAGCTGCAGCCTTTTGCTGCTGCTGCTGCTGCAGCCTTTTGCAGCAGCAGCTGCTGCTGCAGCAGCGGCTGCCCAAGCCCATGCATGCGTCCCCCCGTCTGCTGCTGCAGCTGCTGCTGCTGTGTGCGCCAGATGCCTCGGCAGCAGCTAAATGCGCAGCAGCTAACTCAGAAGCAGCTAGCTAAGCAGCCGCTAGCTAGCCAGCAGCCGGCTAGCCAGCAGCTAGCTAGGTAACAGCTAGCCGAGCAGCAGCCAGCTAGCTAGCTGCTGGCTAGCTAGCTGCAGCATAGCTAGCTAATTGCTAGCTAGCTGGTGGCTATCTATCTGCCAGCTAGCTAGCTGCTGGCTGGCTAGCTGCCGGCTAGCTACCGGGCTAGCTAGCTGCTGGCTAGCTAGCTGTCGGCTAGCTAGCTAGCTGTTGGCTAGCTAGCCGCAGACCAACTAGCTACTGGCTAGCTAGCTGCCTGCCAGCTAACTGCTGGCTAGCTAGCTGCTGGCTAGCTAGCTTCTGGCTAGCTAGCTGCTGGCTAGCTAGCTGTTGGCTAGCTAGCCAGAAAAGCAAATGCTACATTTGCGGCTAGAGAATCTTGAAGGCTATTCTTCTCCGCACTCTCTCTTGTCGCTTTCTGCCTCTGCTGCTGCTGCTGCTACCGCTGCTACTGCTGCTGCTGCTGCTGCTGCTGCGGCTTCTGCCTCCACTTCTGCTGCTGCTTCCTCCTCATCTGCTGCTTCTGCTGCTTCTTCTTCTTCATCAGAGAAGATTATTTCGTCGTCGGAGTCCAGCCCCAGCTGTACATACACCCCAAGTGCAGTGGCGCAGCAGCAGCAAGCAGCAGCAAGCAGCAGCAAGCAGCAGCAAGCAGCAGCAAGCAGCAGCTCAGAAGTCTTTCTCATTTTTATTCCTTCAACTCCACTGGCTCAGACAGAAGCAAAGGCAGAACTTCTGCTGCTGCTGCTGCTGCTGCTGCAGCGGGAGAAGCGCCTTCCCTGCTGCTGTTAGGGCAGGCAGGCAAGAATGCCCGCAGAGTGCCCTGAATGGCTTTATGAATTAAATTAAGCTAAATTAAATTGAATTGATTAATTTGATTTAGTTGAATAATTTAATTTAATTAAACTGAATCAAACATTTATTATTCCAAAGACTTTGCCGCCGCCAAAGCTAAGCAGCAGCAGCAGCAGCGGAAGCAGCAAACTCAACAGCAGCAGGATCAGCAGCAGCAGCAACAGGCTCAGCAGCAGCAGCAGCAGGATCAGCAGCAGCAGCAGGATCAGCAGCAGCAGCAGGATCAGCAGCAGCAGCAGGATCAGCAGCAGCAGCAGCAGGACCAGCAGCAGCATGATCAGGAGCAGCAGCAGGAGAGCGGGGTGTGAGTCTGACTTCGCGATCTCTTTGTTTTCTTTTTTCTTCTTCCATTCGAAGTTCTTCCATTGCTTCTTCCCGCAGCTCTTGAATGCGCTTCTCACTGCAGCACAAGCAGCAGCAGCAGCAGCAGCAGCCCTTACCCCTTTGCTGCTGCTGCTGCACCTCCCGCAGCAGCGACCCAGCAGCAGCACCAGCAGCAAATCACCCCCCTCCCCCTCCTCCGCAGCACCCCCCCCCGGCACCCCCCACCCCACGGCCAGCAGCGCAGCAGCAGCAGCAGCAGCAGCAGCAGCAGCAGCAGGACCAGCAGCAGGACCATAACCACAAAAGCACCCCCAGTCCCAACCCCACCCATCCCAACCACCGCAACCACCCCAATCCCCACCCGAGCCCCCCAATCATCCTGCGCAGCGCAGCAGCAGCAGCGCAGCAGCAGCAGCAGCAGCAACAGCGCAGCAGCAGCAGCAGCAGCAGGACTCGATGTGGATTTGGGTGGCGTCTCGGACGATCTTGAGGAAGAAGGAACCCGCAGCTTCGTCGCCAGGAGCCTTAGCAGCATTTGGGAACTTCTTGGGATCGAGTCGGAGGATCTCGAGGGCCTCAGCAGCACCTGCTGCTGCCAGCAGCTGTTTGCTGCAGCACTGCAGCAGCGCGAGGGCGAACTGGAAGAGGAAGGCGGCGCCGCAGCGCAGCAGCTGCTCGAAGAACAGCAGCAAAGCTTCGAAGGGCAGCACGTGCACGTTCAGCCCCACAAACCATTTGCTGCAGTAGGCCTCGGGGCAGCAAAAGGAAGCAAGTCGAGCAGCAACAGCAGGCTGCTGCTGCTGCAGCAGCTTCTGCAGCACCCGCGCGTCCCTTACATAAGCCACGGGTGCTGCTTTGAAGTACCCCGGCAGGTACAGCCGGTGCAGCCCCACGCACAGCCGCAGCACGGCTTCTGCTGGCAGCAGCAGCAGCAAAAACGCAGCCACAAAACCCAAACCCTGGTGGTAGTCCCCAACTTCCGGCCACAAAGACGACAGCACCTGCAGCAGCAGCAGCAGCAGCAGCAGTGGCAGCAGCTGTGGCACGCGGAGACGCGCGAAACGCACCAAATGCGGCCCCTCCACGACACAAACAAGTCTGGTAATGCTCCTGCTCCTGCTGCTGCTGCTGCTGCTGCTGCTGCTGCTGGCTTACCGCGACGAGCTGCTGCTGGAACTGGGGCGACTTGAAAGTGCGCTCGGCGTCGAGGACGAAAATGCGTTTTGCTGCTTCGTCTTCGCAGTCTGGCTGCAGCAGCTGCGGCTCCACTGCAGCAGCACCGTGCCGCTCCTCCAGCAGCAGCAGCAGCTTTGCTGCTCGCTGCTGCAGCGCAGCAGCAGACTCCGGGCAGAAGAAATTCGCGTTCCGGTTCAGCAACGGCGCCTCCCGCTCCGTCTCCCAAAACTCCGAGCTCCCAATCATCTTCGCCGCCGCCGCTGCTGCTGCTGCTGCTGCTGCTGCTGCTGTTGCCGCTGCTGCTGCTGCTGATGCTGTGTTGCTGCGCGGAGCGCAACTCGCCGTAGGGGCAGGCTGGAGTCAGAAGCGCCTGGGGGGCCTGCAGCGGCCACTGGGCACGCCGGGCAGCAGGGGAAGCCGAAATAAGTTCAAAAAGACAGCCGAAATAGCTTTTTATGAACACTTTTCCAGAATAATTTCCCAAGGGAAAGCAAAATCCGAAGTTCAGATTGCCAGGAACTTGAACGCCCGCATGCAGCGAAGGCAGCCACGGGCTCTCTGCTGCACAAGCCGCGATCCTCCAGCCCGAGTCGCTTTCCTCAACACTGAAAAAAGTATTTATAAATGATCGCTTTTGCGTTTCTCTTGCGGCTCTTCAGCTGTCTAGACACCTGGAACCCCCGCACTGCGAGGCTCGACAGGCCTGCGCATCCAGTTTTCACATTCTACGCACTGCAGCCGCGTCTGCGCCGCCAACGCAAGACCGACTTCTCTTTCGACTCTATTTTGCATTTATTAAACCATTTTCAATGTCATTTGCGCGCTTTCCGGCAGCTTTCCTGGCGGATCAGCAGCTAACCACGCCCGGCAGCAGCGCGCCCATCGCATATCGCCGCCCGGGGAGGCTCAGCCACCTCTGAGTGATTTCGGCTAATACTTCTTATATATTGAGCTTTTTCGGGCATTGTAGCAGCAGCAGCTGCAGCAGCTGCAGCAGCAGCTCGAAACATCCCAGTCATAGCCGCCTCCGTGCGCGCACACCGACCGCTCACTGGATCCAACTTAGCCAGCAGCAGTAGCCTCAGTGGTAGCTCCAGCAAGCGCTGCTGCAACAGAGGCAGCAGCAGCTGCAGCAGCAGCAGCCGCGGCAGCAGCAGCAGCATCAGCGGACTAAATGTAACGGGATTTGCCGCCGTGGCCTTCAAACCCTCAAAGTGCGCGCTGGCCCGCAGCAGCAGCCAAAGGGAAGCGCAGCAGCAAAAGA